CCCCCCCCCCCCACTCCGCACATCATTGTGACGACGACTTTCTTTTCATTCTTTGTCTAAAAGTCTCTTGTTGTACTGCTGTATCTCGACCCGATCGACTACGATGGCGGCGGCGGCGGCGGTAGCAGTCCCAGGAGCTGCGCGTGGAGATCCAGCAGCTGAAGGCGAAGAACCACGGACTAAACACGCAGATGGATGCCCTTGCGGCGGACCACGAGAGGCTGGCGAGTCTCCTCGACACGGCAGAGAAGGCATGTTTTATTCTATGCATATGTCGTTGTTAGACTGCTGTGTACAGGTTTGTCATGTATGTATGTTTTGGTACGGTGAAGTTCGCTGGGCTGTGCGAGTCAAAAACACATGAGCTGTGTGAGCTTTGAGCTTCGGGAACGTCACACCGATGGTGGCAACCGGCTGTTGGGTTGGTCCTGCTGGCTGCCTTTATACGCTTGCATCACACCTCTTGATGATGCTGTGCTGTGTACATGTGTGTGTAAACGGCTGGGTTCCTAGCTTTGAATATTGGTCCAGGGTAAACGGCTGGGTTCCTAGCTTTGAATATTGGTCCAGGGTGCGAGAACTCGCTCGGTGTGCCTTCTGTTACGGGGCTTGCATTTTTTTTTTGTTCCTCAAACAAGAAACCTAGAGCTGAAGGCACGGCCCCTTTTTTTTTTTCCGCGTGATGACTGTTGTGTTTGTTTTATGTCACTGCTTTTTTGTTGTGTCATGCGGTCAAGTGTCTACCCGACAGGGCTGTATATTTCTACTTTAGCTGGACTCTGAGTAAAGGATGCCCGGCCCCCGGTGAAAAACAGTCAGAGTGGAAGGACGCTGTCCACGAATACATCAATTTACGAAGAAGTCAAAATGCCCTGGCGGCTGCACGCCCCCTCGCTCTCTTTCCCCAACCCTCACGGTCACAAAGATTTTCGAAACGAGCTGTTTTTTCTTTTTTTATGTCCCCTCTGGAATCTGCTGTTTCGCAGGACAAAGAGTCGATGGGTACAGAGGCGGCGGAGCTGAGGAAGGTTCTTGCTGACCTCGAGCGAGAGAAGGCGGAGGTCATCGCGGAGAAGGAGGTAACAGTGCGGTAGCTTTGGCCTGAAAGAAAGGGAGATAGACAGACGAACGACGCACGCTCCCCAGACGTTCGCGGGAGATTGCGAGGCTTCCAACAAAAGCGCCCCTAGCCACTGTTGGTGCTTTGTGAACATTTATGTACGCTGTGCTTGTACTTGGTATCCTAGAAGTAGGGGTGTCTTTCGTGCTCAGGTTTGCCGGGTGTGTGTCCTGTCGGACGCAGAGAGTCACCCCTCCAACGCTTGGGTGTTCGACAGAATTGAATGGCGTATGACTACGTGTACTCTTTATGCTTCTTGGACCAAGTTCAAAGAATTCCCGTAAAATGTAGCTCGACAATTACAACCCGAAAGAACATGATCATACGTAAAGACTAACCTCGAGCGATCTACATCGATTGAAAAACGATACGCACCAGGCCAAGATATCGGAGTGGCAGGCGCTCATGGCGAGCACCGAGGAGATCAAGGCCGAGGCCGCCAGGCTGCAGGCACAAAACCACAAGCTTGGCGACGAGCTGGACCGGCTGGCCCCGTCAGCCTCGCCCTCCAAGGATAAGGAGGCGGCCGCCGCCGCCACCGCGAAGCTGGAGGTCGCTACGAAGTCGTGAGTGGCGGATGTTTGCTGACGGCGTGCGTGCGGTGTTGGTGGTTGGGTTGTTGTTGTCGGTAGGTGCCGGGAATTGTTTCTTGAGTGTCTTTTCATTGGTAGGTGGTGATGGCGGTGAGGGAGAGAATACCTCACTGCCGTAATATTTTCGATTGGTGGTGTGCTGTTGTTGTTGATGATGGCGGTGAATACCTAACCGGCGGCGTTTCTTGGGCAAGGGTTATGTTCCTCGATTGGTGGTGATTGGTGTTCTTGTTGCTGGTGGCGGTGGCAGCGGCTTCGGTTTGGCCGTGGAGGTTGGGGTTGGTGACCGCGTGTTGCGTCTACGGCGGCGTTCTTGGCCCTGTCTCGCTGGCTTGTTTGCGTTGCTGTTTGACGCTGCTGTGGTTTTCCGTGGTGCGTTGGGAGAGTGTCCACCGGAACACGGTTAAAACCGCGCGGGTCTCGAGGAGTGTGCTGCTAGTCCGGAGCGATGGTGCTGGTTCGCTACCTCGTCGTGTAGATGCGGCTGTTAGGCGTGGCTGCATGCCTCCCGGCCCACGTCTGTCGATCCCGCTCTCTGTCTTTCTCTCCGTCTCTCTCTGTCTCTCTCTCTCCTTCTCTCGTGTGACCCGACGTAAGCCTGACGGAGGCGGAGGAGAGGGCTGAGACGGCAGAGGGGCAGCTCACCACGCTTCAGACTGAGCTACGGACAGCTCGCGAGGCAAGTTTTTTCTAGCCATTGTTATGGGGGGTGTACTCATAGTCGTGTATGCCGTAGTCGTTAGACCATTGACCTCGCATCCCTACAAAGCCGGGACGGAGCATGCCGGGTTCTCACCCGACCAGGCTCTCACATCACCAAGCGCGAAGCGCCGTGGGATATTCGGCGAGTCGCATGAAGGGTGCGCTGCATCCTGCTAAGGGTGTTCGGCATCTTGTGCTTACTTCCTTGCGTACGGATGACAGCTGCGTATGACTTAATTTACTTTCTGGTGCGTTCACTTCCTGAGACAGTTGTAAGCACTGTGTAACTGCCTCGAGGGTGCTTGACCATATTAACACAACGTGGTGCGATCATCCGCCTTGCGCGGAGTGAGGGTTCTCGACCCCGCACGCCATAATCTACTCGACTCGACCACCGTTATGGTTACCGCCAAAAAAAACCGGAGATAAAAGAACAAACGGTAACCTGGTTGCCGAGTTCACGAAGTGAGTTGGCTTGTTTGCAACTTCGTTGCCAAGCGACGAAATCTAATCCCAATGGCAAACACCGGGGGGGGCGGCTTGCTTTACAACATCGTTGCCAGCGACGAAAACCCAACCCCGATGGCAAACACCGGGGGGGGTTATGGAGTGTGTTAAATCAATTTATGCACCAGTTGACGTATTCCACTACTCTCAGGGTCGTCCAGGCAAACTGTTTTGTGTTCCCTTTCTGTGAAGTCTGTTTCCTGCGGAGCTCCCCAATCGCCGCTCTCTCTTTCGCAGCAACTGCAAGGATTTATGGTGCTATAAACCAAAACCAACAATATGAGTACCTCTGTTGTCTTTGAACGTTTCGTACGACTTGCGTAAACCTCTTGCTATGGCTGTGGTTCGCAGGACACAAAATACGGGAACGCAATATTCGTGCGTGTATGTGTGAGTCTTTGCCTGTCTGTCCGTCTGTTTGGTTTGCTTCTTTCGCAGGAGATAGAGGCCATGCGGGACGAGGCGGAGCTGAAGGCCGGCGCGGCGCGGGAGGGAGTAGCTATTGCGGACGCGCAGACGGCGAAGGCGACGGAGGAGGCCAATTCCTTGAGGTGTGTGTTTTTGGAAGGGGGGGGGGGAACATGATGATGAAGGCTTTATGTCTGGGTGTGTGTGGTGCCAGGCGCAGCGGGAAGCGGCGTGGAGTGTATTGGGGTGAAGGGGGGAGCCCGAAGAGCTCCATCGTCTCCACTTATTCCCTTGACGCTGCTGTGGAGTCAATCACGAACCTCTTGACGACAAGGGAGGCGCGGCCGGTACCCCCTCTTCTTCCCCTTTGTTTGTTGGTGCCCTTCTCCTTTGTTTTTCTTTGCCTCCGGAACAGGGACGAGCTGGCCGATCTCCGAGAACACCAGGCGGAGTCGGCGTCGGAGCAGGAGGGGGAGCTGTCCTCGGCGCGAAAGAAGGCGGCAGACCTGGAGCACAAGCTCGCGGCCGTGCAGCAGGAGATGGAAGGGCAGGAGCAGGAGCTCGCGGCCTCTCGGCAGCAGGCGGAGGAGTACGGGGTGCGGGTCAAGGCCCTGGAAGAAAAGGTGGAATAGAGGTGTTTTACTGCTGGGAGGGGGGCGGGGGGTACGCGTTGTCGTGGACAGTTCACTGTCGTTGCGTGACCATCCTCTCTCCACGCAACCGGGGGCGTAAGGATACTACCGCGGTCGCTTAACTTTTCGCAGCGAAAGCCCTGTGCACAACATGCGCAGGGCCACAAGATCCTTGCTTGACGGCAGCGACGGCTCTCCCTCTCTGTATCTCTGTCCGAACACAGGTAGCAGACTCGGAGCGGCAGCTGGAGGACGCGGGGCGGAAGGTGGAGGAGGCTGAGAACCTCGCGAGGGAGGCCGTGCAGGAGCAGCAGGCGGGCAAGGACAAGGGGTTGGCGGACGAGGAGGCGAAGGGCAAGGACCAGGAGAAGCTTGCGGCCATGCGCCAGCAGCTGGTGGAGGCGCAGGCCATCCGCAAGGAGGCGGGGGAGAAGGTGGTGGATAGGCGGTGTTTTGATTTGTCGGTGTGTTCGTTGGTGCCGGTGTTGAAAAGGGTCGGAGTTGAATGCGGGTCCGATTGGTTGTTGTAGTTGCTGCTGCTGCTGGTGATGCTGTTGTTGCTGCTGCTGCTGCTGTCGTTGGTGTATCTCAAGGGTGGTCTGGTGTTTTTCTGTGTTGGTTCTTGTGCCTTGGAGCGGACGCCGTAACAGATTCGTTTACGGTAAGCCGAGGTGTTGTCGCCTTCCGTCACGAGCTATTGCACGCAGTCTCTCATGGTTGACGCTCCACCTGGGTTCCGCTCGATTGCTGTGGTAAACAGGCGGCTGCGTCCGAGGCTCGCGCGGAGGAGCTGGCAACGGCGCTGTCGGAGTCTCAGCGGGTGGGAGAAAATACGGAAGGACGGGTGGGGGGGGGGGGGGGGGGGGGGG